TAGAAAATTTAGCGGAATATATTCTCAAAGCTCATGTAAATGAGTAAAATTATGTAAATAACAAAATTATGCAATTGTAGCATGTCCCTATGTGCCTCACATATCCATAATACACACCATTGGCATAGGTAGCCCTGTATAAATTTTTTACATTGAAATCGCACAGTAAAACGACTTTTTTAGAGGATTTTTGAAGCTCGTTTCCATGGTAACCTGGTGTAAACATTCAATGAAATCTCACATCCTTTCTCTAAAGTCTATTTTTTTCCGTAAAAAGTATGGAAATTTAAATAAAGACTTCACTAGTTGATAAAATACATGTTTAGGTATCCTATCATGATGTTTTAGATATTTTGACATTTTCATCCTAATCGACTAAATTTTGAGGTGAAGCTCCCCCTTTAGGGGATAATCACTGATCACCCATTTTCTCGGTGTTTGGCAAGTTTTTTGCTTGGGAACTTTTTGTCGTAGTCGAGTATCCATGCTACTATACGCATTGAATCACAGAAAATCTATCCCCCAAGGGGTTGCCACGAAGTGAATTAATTTTGGCCAACGGCCTATATTCAGTTAGTTATGAATTATCTATAACGTGATGTCAACAAGCTACTATAATTAACACTCATTACAACCGCAATGATAAAAAATTATCTTTCTGATCTTTCGAGTTTGTCCTCGAAACGATTGAATAAAGTGTAAATTTTCCTATTTCGGCAGCAAAAATGGATATAGTAAGGGATAAAAATGGATACTACATGGCCTTTAAAACTAATTATAAGGGGCGGACCATTAGAAATCCCGGGAGGGGGGGGGTGAAAATTCCCAAAAAAAAATTCGTGGAAAGAAAAATACCTGGAAAAAAATTCGTGCAGCCATTACGTCAGAGAAAAAAAATTCGTGCAAGCAAACAGCAAAGCAGGGCATTTTTTAACTATATAACTGGGGGGGCAAAGCCCCCCCCCCCAGCCCCCATGGTGGCCCCCCCACTCAACCATTTTGGGGCCCCCAGTCAAAGTCCCTTTTCTCTAAAATATAAGCAAAACATGGAATTTAGAAGGGAGGCTTGATATTCTAGTAACTGAAATTTGCTTTGTGAATCTTATGTCCTGTCTTTTATGTTTAATAAATACCTTAGATTTTAAAACATTTCCCAGGCAGTGGATTGCATTTTCCAGACCCTATAGATTTGAGTTGTTGGACAAGTTAGTGACCGCAGGGGGCAACAGGCCCTCAACCAAGTGTTTTATAGGGGGGGGGATAATTTTGGCCCCCACCAAAAAAAAAATTGATTTCGAAACTAGAAGTATTTGAAATCATATATACATATAATCAAATATCTGTAATCGATATTTTGATAACATTTCTCGTAATAATCCATCCTGACTCGCGGATATTATAGACTCACAAATCATAATGAACGAATTAATGAAAGGGCCAAACAAAAGACGTATAGAAGACTTTGAAAATGCCATTTCCGATGATTTAGAGACGCAAATTTTCAAAAATTTTCCGCTCTGTGCCAACCATGGTGGCGCTTCATGGGAGTCGGGAACTCTAAGTTTATCAAGCTGGCTCCCTAAGTGACGGCCAAGTTGTGGTATCTACATAAACATACTATGCAAGTACTTAACTGAAGGTTCAGTCTATCTACATCATAATGTGATGCTGTATATCCAAAAATCTGTTTCAGAAAATGCAGGGAATTGCAGTCATGGGGTAGAAAAATACAAAAATTTTCTGGGGGAGAAAACCCCAGACCCTCTCCAAGGCCGTAGCAACCGCGGGGGGGGGGGCTGGGGGCTGCAGCCCCCCAATAATTTGCTAATAATCATTCATTTTTCAAAATCATGCAGACCTTTATTATTTAATCCATGACAAACTGCAAAGAATGAAGATATTACCCATACTTTCCTGCAACTTATCCAATATATCGTTAATTAAATACACCTTCGTCCATTTAGTACTACTGAATTCTAAATTTCCACATACTAAAAACGCTGTTTTCTGACAATCAGAAATCTGTCAAATCTTCCCCCAAAGTCCAGGAAATGGCATTTTAAAGACTCTAAATTTTAAATTTTTCTCGGGCCTTCGGCCCTCGCTTTCAGCCCCCCCAAACAAAAAGAGCTTCCCACGGCCCTGCTCTCCCCCACCACACCAAACTTTTTGTTACCAACAAACCATCTATCATTGCTCCACACTCGGTATAGTATGGTCCCTTTTTGTAGATGCCCCCCCTGATGAATTCTTAAAAAATGCCCTGTTACATGTTAAAAATATACGAGGTATATTAGGCGGTACTACATCTAGTTCCTGCATATCAGGATTTGGGGCATCTACACTGGATATAACTAATTGGAGAAGGATTTTGTAGATGGAACTATGGCATTATTTAGTACAGGCAATGCATGCACCGGAATCGCAGGGCCGTAGGTTCGATTCCTGCCAGAGGGCCTAGAGTTGCATTTTTAGCAGCTGTTCCTGTTTAGGTCCATAAATGTGTAAAATTCACACTCGAAATTTGTAAAATTCTTCTACAATTAGTTACTGTATATGACTTACACCTCATATGACTTTTACTTCAAAGTCGTTCCAAGTCGTTTCTCAATAACTCTCATTATAAATACTGTTATTATTTTATGATTCCTCTTTAAATTAGCATTTCTTTTTTGGTACACAGTAAAAACAAATTGGTTAAAATGACCAATTTAAATTGGTTACAACCAATTTAAATTGGTCATTTTAACCAATTGAAGAATAGGTTAGTCTGACATGACCAATTAAATATTGGTCATTTCGACCAATACATAATTGGTTGAATTTTTAACCAATTTAAAATGGTAAATTTAACCAATTTCTTTTGATCAGTCAATGTTGAATTTCCAAAAATAACCAATAAAAATTGGTCATATCCCCAACCAATTTAAAATTGGTCATATGCATAACCAATTTAAATTGGTCATCTCTATAACCAATTTTAAATTGGTCGAATCCATAACCAATTTTTAATTGGTCAAATCCCATAACCAATTGTAAATTGGTTAAATGGGTAACCAATTATTAATTGGTCAATTCCCATAACCAATTGGAAATTGGTCAAATGCATAACAAATTTTTTAATTGGTCAAATCCATAACCAATTCAAAATTGGTCAAATCAGTAACCCATTCTAAATTGGTCAAATCTGATCTGGCAGTGTTTTCTGTTATCCAATTCTGCATGTAATTTATTTCTGTAATGCATCCATAGCTTTGTTGGCCTTTGTTGTTTTACTCAGTCAAACACTAGATTTACTCGTAAAGAGGGGAGACCTTTAGTCAATACACCACAGACACAGTGTCAGTGACAGTGGCTAAACTTTGATATTGATTTTATATTTCAATTGTATTTATTTAGTTTACCTGGTCAAAATTTTGCCGTCCGAGTTAATTTTAAATTCTTCATGAGTTCATGGAAACTCTATTTACACAAAATATTTATAGTGTTTGTCGTGTGACATATAAACGGATTTTACTACATCCCGGGCGTTCTTTGTCAGTGCCCGCGATCACAATTAGAATTACCAGCGGTTGAGTTCGCAACTCAATATTCAAACATTTTCAACCAGATAAAAAAAAGATTAAAACTTTTTTAAAGCACTTTAGATTTTATACCGATCCCAAACACTAACCGGCCTAACTTTTAAGAGTTAAAAAAGGAAGGAAGAAAAAAATTACAAAAAATTGAGAAAAAGAGCTAAATCAGATAATAAATGTTCGGCATCGATCCCGACCCCGACTACGTTTCACTTTCGGTACGCAGCGCCTTTACGGTTATTAAGCCGTGTAGCAAAGCACAGAACACGTCACAAGTAATATACAAAATTATTCTGGTTATAAATAATATATGGTAATTATACAAACTATGTCTTACGTCATCTATAACGACTCTGAATGCCATACGCCAAAATGATGTACGTTTTTGGCTTTTTATCCATCTGCCATAGCGCCAGTTTGCCAGAGCGCCGGCAGTTTTGCCAGAGCGCCAGTTTGCCAGTTTTGCCAGAGCGCCAGTTTTGCCAGAGTGCCAGTTTCGCCAGAGTGCCAGCTTCGCCAGAGTGCCAGTTTCGCCAGAGCACCAGTTTGCCAGAGCGCCAGTTTTTCCAGAGCGCCGGCAGTTTTGCCAGAGCGCCAGTTTGCCAGTTTTGCCAGTTTGCCAGTTTTGCCAGAGCGCCAGTTTTGCCAGAGCGCCAGTTTTGCCAGAGTGCCAGTTTCGCCAGAGTGCCAGTTTCGCCAGAGCGCCAGTTTGCCAGAGTGCCAGTTTTGCCAGAGCGCCAGTTTTGCCAGAGCGCAAGTTTTGCCAGAGCGCCAGTTTCGCCAGTTTACTAAAGTGCTAGTCAGTTTTGCCAGAGCACCAGTTTGCCAGAGCGCCAGTTTTGCCAGAGCGCCAGTTTCGACAGAGCGCCAGTTTACTAAAGTGCTAGTCAGTTTTGCCAGAGCGCCAGTTTGCCAGAGCGCCAGTTTTGCCAGAGCGCCAGTTTCGCCAGAGCGCCAGTTTACTAAAGTGCTAGTCAGTTTCGCCAGAGCGCCAGTTTGCCAGTTTTGCCAGAGCGCCAGTTTTGCCAGAGCGCCAGTTTCGCCAGAGCGCCAGTTCACTAAAGTGCTAGTCAGTTTTGCCAGAGCGCCAGTTTTGCCAGAGTGCCAGTTTTGCCAGTGGCAAGTAAAGGAATTCGCTGCTTTTCTTTCAAACCATATCGTATACTGAACTTAACTAAACGTACTGCTTTGTTTCAGAGAATTAAAACAGAAATTACTTTGACGCAAAAGAAAATGCTGAAATATATTGCGATTTACGATTAAGTTAAAATTGCAATTCTACTACTAGACTATACATGCTCTTGCGTTCAATCTGGTTTGTTATGCGACCTTTGTCAGTTTGTCTTGCATATGAAAGATTTATTACTGTATATATGATCACACCATCTTGCATAACAAGTTATTGTCTTTGTCTATTGCTCGTATTTGTTGAGGAAATATTGTTATAATACTTTGATATTTCTAAACCAGAGAGTCGAAATTCAAAATACCTGCCCTGAAGCAGAACTGCGATAACAACGAGCCGGTAATGTGGCACTTGAAGTGTCACGCATTTAATCAAACATTATCAGTAACATAACAATAATGAAATATTTTGAATAGTTCAACTTCACGAAAATATATTTATTTAATTTTCAGTCATTTTGTGTAAAGCTATTAAGCATGTTAAATTAATATTTTAATGTGCTATATAGTATTATGCGCATAACGACTATAACCGCGAATGTTTCGCGTTTGTATTCACTCTTAATTAAATCCTTAATGTGGATAGACGGACCCGCACTTTAATTTACCGTGTCACTCAATAAGGTTATTAATGAAAGCTGACATTTATATACTTCCACATACATCTTGCCTTTGACCTTTGTAGTGTTTTAAAACATAAATCATATCACGGTCATATGGATTTATACATCCACTGGTAAAACTATATGCAACGTTCAATATAATGTGACATGTAAAGATTTGTACGACCGCGTTTGTGTATCATTTCAGTGGGTTATTAAAAACAAGAGTTGTTGCTGAAATTGGTAGCATACTGTATAAACTTAGCCAGCGCGCAGTCTCATGATATCGACATCGTTTTGAAGTCATAAGACTGCGCGCATGCAGGCTAGCATAAACTGCGTAAATTAATTTTTGGCGGGAAATATGCGCGCCAGTTGTTGACATACCATGCTCATGAATATTCTGCCTTTCTTAATATTAGTCGTTTCGCAAGGAAGCCATGCTATAAAAATGCAACACTTCTAATTTGAAATATATTTACATACATAACATAACTTATATACAAAATAATTAACTCTACATATCTAATATTATCCTGTCTTTTGATCACCAAATGTTCTAATTGACATTTAGCTACTGATTTAGTGTCGCATTAAAGCAACAGTAACTGTGGAACTATATCTACATAATAATAGTGCAGATGAATAACAATAATAGTACAGATGAATGGATAATGCGACTATATATATATACTCGACTATATACTGAATTGTTAATTTAATTTAGTGTCGCATTAAGCTACGTTTGCACACAACGATTATTCGGGCCGATTACTGGTTTTGCCGAATGTTAATGACGAATACTCTCAGTTGACGATATCGCCAGATGACGTTGACAGCCTATTTTTCAAATATC